CATACCTACCTGCTATGTTATTCACTCGTCTGCTTCACTCTGTATTATAAAGTTTGTTATATTATTTGTAATTTGTAAGCGTCGTCGTGCATACACGCACGCAACTCGTGTCTATTACTGCGGTGACTATTATATGTAGATACGCATGCACGTGTGCGTACATGACACGTATTGCATATCTGTATATTATGCAAAGGTAGATTGGATTTCCGAGGTCAATTTTCGTCTGGAATTGAAATACGCGTTTTGTCCGACACTTAAAACCACCGCTGTCGACCGTCGTAATTGTCATTGGGTGATTTACCTATATATTAGTTAAAATTAATAAATCGATATTCGTGTAATTATTAGACAGGTAGGTACGCGACATCGAATAAAAATGTTACCGGACTTTTATACCTTTTAGCTATCCGCACTAGTTGTTTTAGCGTGAGCGCGCGTAGGTTTACCTATACCTGTGTTTAACAGTAATCACAGTAAAAGGCGAGGTACTAAACAATAATAATTATTAAAGTTATAGTACAGTTTGAATCCGAAGTCTTTCAGATTTGTATCGTAAACTTATATACATACACGGTTTTATTATTATTACTTCGTCAATAGTTGCAGTTTATCATACGAATAGTTTATTTTACGGAAAATCGAATTGACATTGGTTATACGCAGTATACCCACAGCTATAGCGTTTTATCATTTGCGCAGAACATTAGCTCAACCGAACACACGCAATATTTACACTAAAAGTAGGTACAGGACCGTGGTAAGATAATTCTCGTCCTAAAGCGAACATTTTGATGCCAGTCTTTTTTGACGATTTTATCAACGTGATTAAAACTAAAGCAACGCATGGCTTGTTTGTACCTTAGTGATACGCCTGAGTAGATATTATAATGTATACCTATAACTATAATTTTATTTTTTTTTTAAATAGATTGTACTTGCTGGATTTAAAAAAATTCCTATGAAATTTCATTTGAGAATTTATTAAATCTTACAGATATTATTATATTATTTACAGCATTATCCCGAACTATCCTTAGTGACGAATCAATATAATATTCCAACGTGTTTTTGTCTCCAGAATAAATAAGATAATTTTAATTTAATAGCCTAAGTTTCATGGTTTTTTCAAATCTATATTTCTATGTAATTATTTAGTTTTTAAATTATTTAAATAGCTGATTTTCTATCTTATTCATTAAAACAGACTTAAAAAAAGAAGGGGATCCTTCACATGATGGTTGCAGCTACTGTTGTTGATGAGAAGTTGGGAATTTAGGATGTAGAGGGGAAATTAATTTTTGTCTATAAGCAACAATAAACCATTGCTTACAAAAAAACGATTCTAAACGGAGTTCAATTGATATTAATGATTTGTCAACAAAATATATGTCATTTTATATTAAAACAATTAAATAGACTTTATCAATTTTCTTTAATGATATTTGTTTAATGTTGTACCGATCTTCCCAGTTTTCCTACAAGTTTCCCTATTTCCCATGTTTTATCCCGGCTTTTTACATTTGTTGGAAAAACTCTTGGGAAAATCAAAATTGACTTCTTTGAATTACCTCCCTAGTTGAATTCCATTTAAAAACATTGCTGTCATTAAAAGCTGGAGCGAAATTTCTGGTTAAAAAGTTGTGCAAAGTAAAAAAGAAGGCTGTATTATATTTTAACTAATACCTACATTTCTTATATTATCCCGTTTTTTTTTTCTTCAAATTTGATGAGAAAATTGAAAAATTACCTCCTTAAAGTACCTCGCCGTGCCGATTTCCTTTCAGAAAAGGTGTTGCACGCATAAATCCGTAGAACAGTTGCGCACAGATAAAAAATAATAATAATAATAACAAATATCATTGCAAAACTATATGCTTCTACGCTCCACTCAGAATCTATTATAAACACTAAAATTGACTGAAAATCGACCTAGTTGAAGCAAATTAAGCTTTTGTTTTTATTTTTCAAAAATAAAATCCGTGATCTACTCGAACTTTTTGATGTTCGTTATAAAATAGGTAACTAATATTAGTACGAAATCAAAAATTGAATACGCTTTAACAAGGTCTAAATATACATAAATTTTTTTAAACTGTTAGAAAGTATAAATAAAAAAAAAAAAAAAATGGGGAAATTTAAAAACAAAATAAATTGTATACAAATTTGTTTTAGTATATTTTGAAAAGAAAAATTAAAACTTGCCATTCAATTGTAGTCTGATTTTCTTACTTATTATTAATTACTGTAAATTAAAAAAAAAAAAAAAATACCGCATTCAAATAAATATTGATTTGCCACGGAAATATTATGAGGATAACACGGGTCTTTTGGGACACTCTCTATAACTATATATATATATTATTATGATGTATAGGTAATCCATCAATTGAGCTTACTTATAAATCCATTCAAATTAAGTTTCTTGTCCTATGTTTATTCGGAATTAAACGGATTGCTGGGCGTAATATAATAACTATATTATAAGCAAAAGTACCTTTAATATTATAATATTACTATATTATATTATTATACTGAGGTTTCAATTAGAATTATCGAGAATTTATCCGTGACACGCGTATTTGCAATAATGCAACAAAAAATATACATGTACACATTATATAGTACGTACGTATTATACGTATACATATGTATAAACGAAGATACTATGTACACATAATATATATTACCAAATATTTACGTATAAAATCAGTCGACCGAATTTCCCGTTTCGTTTAGATAATATAATTAAATTCGGGCGAACTTTTTGCTCTTTGAGAACTAATTAAGTTGAGCCTATTAAATAAAAAATATAAATACTGGACATTAGTCAAAATATAGGTGTGGTACATCAGTAGCAGTTTTGAACAAACTTTCACGGGGGAGCAGGGGACTCAGAATCATAGTGAAAAAATTTTTTTTACACTCGCCAGAGACTATACAAGCGCAGTTAAGTACTTTCGTTATTCTTATTGTGGTTTATTTATTATTGTTTACTTACTTTATTTTTAAACTTTGTTTTTTACAATATTATAACGTGGTCGTTCTTAAAGTACATTATATGTCATTATTTTGTTTTTTATTCTGAGCAACATAGGAACGGTAAATGGTCATAGACTATGACCGTATCGTCCGTATCCATTAAAATATAATATTCGGTCTGTATTACGGCACCGGGAAACTAGTGCGGCAGAATATTTCGCATGCCCTGTCGGCCGAATTGGTTGCGAGCACCGCATCGCCCCACTGGATCCTATGGCACCGCCAATCTAAATGAGTACATTTGTTTTGTTCAATATGGATATCGCGTACGTTTTCACCGTTGTGATGAATATCACAAATATGTAGTATGGCATCGGCTTCAAAGACACACACATCAGAGGCGTTCTCGAGATTTTTTTTAGAAGGGGGGGAAATGACACTATATTAAAAAGTTAGCCGTGTGGGCTAAGCCCACACACACCCTTTATTATATAAACAACATATTACATTAGATTATAACATATTATATTTTTTAATAAAATATTTTATTTTTCAATGTTGTATTAATTTTTCTTGATTTTTGAGCCAGTATATCAAGAACGTCTTCGGGATCAATTGGGATTTCTCTATGGATAGCCAACAATGTTAAATGTTAATCCATTATGACGTTTCTAAAAACCACTTACTTAATTTTTCTCTAAAAAAGATTGATAACAAACAACAAAAATCCGGTAAAATATGTTAACATTTTTATCATTCTTCAGTGGGAGTATCATGAGATTAATATATTGTTTACATCAATTATATATAACCACAGTTGATTATAAAACTAGAACCGCGATAAAGATATTAATCAGTAACCACAAACGTATTAACGCGTATAGTCTTTAATCTGTATACGAATATTGTGGAAAATGAAGACGAGTCAAAAAAATATTTATTGGTTATACATATTTATTTGATTATTATCGCTAAATACCAGTTAAAAAAGAAATTCCATAATATTTAAAAAAAAAAAAAATTCTATGAAATGTCCATCCCTATATCCTCCCCTGTGAGAACGCCTATGCGCACACACAGAAATTATAATTAAAACACCAGTTACACATTATAGTAAAACCAATGTACGCATAGAATCTAAAATAAACTAAGATACGAGACGTGCAAATGGAAATAATTCCGGAATAATTAAATTCGTATTTTATATTTTAATTCAAAAGTTTTGTTGATATTATGGACGGTTCATGATATAGATATAGAATATTATAATACTATTAAAATTGATAAACGCGATTCGTTTAAAATCAATGCTTCGGTTTAAATCACCCAACCATACCTTAACTTATAAAAACCATACAAGTTCATAATGATGGAATTATTTAAAATCTATAGATTCGACGACCAGAATTGTTTCTAAGTTGTCAACCACATTTTGTAATTGCATTATTTAATTTATTTATGTAACATTAATTCGTATTAATTAAATTTGAACTTAAGTTTCTCTTAAACATTTAAATGTAAATACTTACTGCAACAAACCTAATATTATCATTTAAATGTATTTAAATCAACTGATACTGTACTGGTACTTAAAGAATTTAACAATAAATAATTATTCTACCGCTGTTCCTCTAAATGTACATGCCACTGGAATTATTTGTCGGCATCGTTAAATTAGTTTAGGTTTTTAACAAATAAAACTTAATATAGGTGTAATATAATATATTACAATTATATAAAATTTATATTTACTGGGGTATGTCGCTACACTGTAGTACTGAAAAAGTCAGGAAAGTAAAAGTAATTTAGTTTCTATTTTGTAACGATAGATATTTCCAATCGAAATTCCCCCGTAGTGGTAGAACAGAAGGGCGGGCTGTTATATTTGGTATACTTTTCCACACTTGAGAATTCGGGGTGGCCCTCGCCGGTCCCGGACGGGCGTTACGCGCAAACACAACTGCCCGTCACACCATAAACCACGACACGGGCGATTACCGCCATCCGTTTCTGGATCATTAACCGCTCGCGACCGGCGTTCGCGGTACTGCGCACATATTAATGCTGTTCCCTTTGGAGGAGAATAGCCCGCGTAAAACGCTTGAGATCCACGAGTGACCGGGAAGATGCCACCAAGTCGGCAACACACCATGACCCCCAGACGTTACGTTAAGTTTCGAACGTTTCTCGGCGTACAGTGGACAGTGTAAAAGAACATGCCACGAGTCCTGCGTGAGGCACTCGTCACATTCACAAACCGCGACGTCACTTATGCCGAATCGATGCAGGTGAGCTTGAAAAGCACTAGAAACTGGGCGAAGAAATGGGTCGGTGAGAACCATCGTTGCGCGAGCACCCACAGCGAATGCGTATGTAACACGGCCGGTGACGGCGGCGTCCATCGCACCTGCCACTCGCCAAGTGTGGTGGTGTTCAGCCAGCGCTGTTCGGCGAACATATAGATCGGACCTTTTGCGTACTTCTATGTCTAACGGTAGTGACCTCGCGAACTTGCGACGCTAATGTGGGCGCCGTTCGGTACGCGCCAATTGTTGAAAAAAGGGTCGGTCGCTGTTTAATGTAGCAGCGAGGATGACATTTGGTGTATCCGGTGAGCCCACACGATTGCAGCGTATATTGCTGCGGGCACCGCCGCTCCTGCGTATAGGAGTCTCAATGCGGGTGCACGAAGGTCCCATCGTTTCGCGGCCGATCTCCGCAGTCTTAGCCAGATTTTCGGATTTACCGGCAACGTAATTAACATGCGCCGCAAAGTTCAGTTTTCGATCGAGAATTACCGCGAGGTAATATTTCACCTGCGGTGCGATCCTGACTCGGGCACCGTTATCCGGATCGGCGAGCGGAGAACGTACGTGAGGGTCACTGACTAATAGTGCTTCGGTTTTTGTCCACGGGAAAACAGAGCTTATTTCGCTTCCCCCACTCGAGGGCTGTACCTTTCCACACCTGTGCAATAGTTGCAGAACCGAAGACGAACTGCTGTACCTGGCGATCTCCATTCTTATTTTCCTGACTGTTATACCCGGAAAAGTGGTCAATACAACTACGCGTTCTTTGGGTAATTTGCATTAGTGTGACGATTTATCGAAACCCACACGTATCCATGTCTTACCCCGTACACCTGGATAACAATTTATCCGAACCTCCCTTGTTAGTTTACCTATCATAATACAGCTGACGAGCTTCAGACGAACTTCAAGCTGTTTTGCGAATCATCAAAGTAGGTGAACATTACTATACTCCCGTAATAGAATATTATTTAAGTTTTTGTTTTATTTTAGGTCAAACAATCGCGTAATATAGGAAACGTTCATTCACACATTTGTTTAAACATACACCCACATATAATATCCTCGGATACACATAATAATAAACCATATTATACGGGTTGATTATGATACTTAATATTATAAAATACATATAAAACATACCGCGTCGCGTCACAACATCACATTTAGTTGTCCGCATACAGCGGCTACTTAGCGCCGCGTTTAGTCGTAAAACCGTTGATTGTGTTATACGCACATCCTATCCGCTCGTCGTTCTATTCAGCTTCGTTCATTCTTACTGTCGTATACACTATACGGTATAGTAGACCCACGCATAATAAAATAATTATAATACCAAAAATACTAATAATTCTGTAGCTCCATATTACGCATTTTATTAAAACATGCGCAAATGGGGAATTGACATGAATTGTGAGTGCGGGAACGTGCAAACAACAAGTCGTTTAATGGAATGACCAATGCTACTGATAAGAGGAGAGATAATGTATATTTTAAGAAAACAATCAAAAGACAATACAATAATTGCATTTTCATTATTAAAATTGCTGATTTCTGGGAGAAGAACGGAACTTAAATACCACTGACCGACGCATTTTCAAATAAAACGCATTTTATAATCATCGACTCCTGAACGGATCTGACACTCACCCAGTCTCATATACTACCTGTTAGACTCGTTCCCCACATCTCACCCTACCTATTATACATACCCACCCATTTACTCCCCTTTGTCTCTATTTTAATTGTATTACATTTATATTCTATTACATACTTAATAACGGTTGTACCTGAAATCCTGAAATTAACATTAATATTATTATGGGCTCCTCTCGGGATTACACGAGTCGCAAGTTGTTTTTTGAAACATCCGGAAAATGTTGTAGATTTGCCTATGTTTCTAGCCAACTAAAAAAGTCACTTAATAATAATACATTATAATATTGTCAGTTAGTCATAAATCTATAAGTCTATTAATACGCGCTTAATTATTTTGTACTATAAGTACGTTATAACAATAAAGGCTAAGTTTAATAATTTGTTATACCATGCAATGTTATTCTTATTTGAGTATATTTTTTTTAAAATTATTTTTACATAATATTTACATGACCACATAACGCAAATTATAGACTCATGTAAACATAATAATAATAATAATAATAATAAATTAATTAATTTGGTTAAACGTATCACGGTTATTATAAAATATTCCTAATCACATTGACTTAAACATATAAACGAATTAACAAGGGCATGATAATATTATTTTAAACCATTAAGTTTAGAGTAATTCCATTTTCTTTATTATGGTCTACAGCGTACATACAAAAGGTACAACTATAACGCATCATGGTAAACCTGATAAATTTTGGAAGATGATCTGAAAATACTTGTAAATATAATACGGAAAATTTCCGGTATTGAAATTTATTTTTACAATTTTTTTTTTTTAAATAAAAAGGAAGAAAAAATAATATCAACAACTTTATACAATAAACTAAATTATAATTATTATACAGTATTATAATATAGGTAATCAAATTTTGTACACTCGTTGGGATTTTTGCCAAAAAAAAAAAAAAAAAAACCAACAGTAAACGAATAAACTATTTTCAAAAAAAAAATAATAATAAACACAATAAATTATAGACAAAATAAAAAGTTCAAAATAATGCGGTAGAAAAAAATGGAAGAAAAAATAAACGAAAGAAATGTAAAATAGAAGTTTTTCACAAAAATGAGAAAAAAAACTTGAGAAAACTTAAAACTAAACCGTAAATAATTGTCGAAATTAAAACGAATTATTTCGTTGTTATACCATTGGATATCTAGATTTTTTTTATAGTACAATTTCACAGTAAAAAAAATACAATAAAACCGAAAAACATTATTTAATATTTATACAAATAACACACGATATATTGTAATTCCCAAAACTGGGAGTATTATAATAACAGGTCGTAATACTCGCTCTCGGGCTGTCTGCATCTTTCAAAATGTAAAACCGTATCACATACCAAATTTGCGTTCAACAGGACCAATTTTGTACCTTTCATTTTAAAATGAAGTGGCTTAATTCAAGTTTATTGGGAAATGAACTTAAGTTTATAAAAAATTAATTTCAGTAGTTACTGATTTTGACTAGTTTTAGATAGTCATATATTAATAGTATATATGAATTAAAATGTATTCCACAGTAAAACGTGTCATCCCTATTTTTCTAATGAGCGATATTGGAAAATTACGTTACTTAACTAGATACTTAGAATTTATTGTAGTGGTCAGGTTACGCGAATTGCTTAAAATATTTTCATAAATTCTCAGTGTAAATTTTGGAATTTTAAATGTAATTAATGGCCCAATTTAAGTCCATTGAAAATTCGAATTTAATTCAATTTAAATCGAGCAAAATAAAATACAAACTTTAATTATGTTCGTTCACACATTTTTAAGAATAACGGTGACATTGCTCAAACAATCATGTGTTGCGTAAATACTTAAAAATCGAGAAAAATAAATCTACAGTTACGCAGATAAACATATCTTTAAGTTTGATAAAAAGTGACAACTCAGTCAAATATTGGAGCACAGAGTTGTTCCTGTTGAACGGGAAATGTCTATGTCGTGCGTTATTAAATAATCGTAAGACGACAACGGCACACCATATGGGTACGGCGATGTCCTCTTAATTGTAATATTGACAACATAATATTATAATATGAAGTTTAATTTCGGTAAAGATTTTAATTTAAACTCTTTTAATTTAAAAAGATACATAAATATTATTCAACATGATAAAATACAATTATTGTATTATAACAATATAAGTTTATAGAACAATGTATAATATTTACAACAAAATCCATCGAAATTCGTTGTGTCCGATGAGGAGAAATGACCACAGTGGGAAAATCGATAGTAGTTCTGTTGTTAATAGTACCGAATTTGAGCTTTTTTGTCGTTGGATCGCAGCAGTATTGTCAAATTCTAAAATGAACGGAATAAAAATTTAAAAAAAAATCATACAAATTTCAATATTAATGCATTTTTATTATAAATTTAGTAAACATGAATTATACGATTTTGTAACATGGGTTAAAAGTGAATATTTTGTTAATCATTTTTAAGTTAGTTAAATCAATGGTAAATTTTGGGAAATATTTCAATCTAATTTGAATTTTTGATTATTTATTGGATGGATTTTATTTCTTAAGAAATCGCGGTTTCTAATATTTTAATCACAGGTTATTATTGAAAATGCATACATACTTTTTTTGTAAATCTTAACCGCTCTAATTGTATATATAATTAACAAATATACCAATAATAGCATATAATAACATTTTTTAATATCAAGTCAGTTTTTGATACATTCGATCACTGCCTGCTGATGCCAGTTTCACTATGTTTAATATTTTTTAATATTCAAGAATTTATAACATAAAAAGAGGAAATCATAATTTTTAAAATCAATTTTTATTCGTTTATTTTATTATTTGGTTCACAATTGAATCGTCTTTATAAAAACTTTAGTGTGTTTCACACTCGAACGGTACAACGAAATATTTCAGTCGGATGGAAGCGGATTTTATTTTTTTTAAGAATATCACGGGAAAAAAAATACAAATTTTTAGAATATACAATACAATATAATAAGTAGTATATATATATATATATATATTATTTTATTTCAAGAAAATAAAATTCAAATAATTTTAAGCCATATGTTACCTATATCATAATATTATTATATTTACTTATAATTTAATTTCCATAAAATCGTTGTCAAAATGTATTCAATTTTAAAGTCTTGAGATTTAAATCTTTTAAAAATCAGTTTGAACTCTATAAAATGGCTTCTACAACTTCTAGATATTTTTGGAGTAAAAAAAAAGAATAATGTTTCATTATATTGCTGGAAAAAAACACGGCTATTTCAATCTGGTGTTAAAAATAGTTATTGCCATTTAAGAAAACGTGTTTTATTGCGCATTTAGTTAAACATTTAAAAATATGCTCAAAATGCGTATTTTTAATATTTGATATTTTACTTTCATATAGTCTTGTGCAGCTGCTAGGGTACCTAGTTATCCTTAGTACCCGGAAAGAAAAATACAGTGTTTAAGTGTTAAGAGGTCTTAATGTTGAATTATAGATAATTATAATAATAATATAGATTTTAAATCTCTAGGTGCATTTTTACCGATGCGAGTATTGGGATAAGTTTCCCCTGGCATCGGCCTAAACAAAGACGGCTTGAGAGGCTAAAATTAAAAACTTCGGAAACAATTACTTTAGTAACAAATTCAGAATTTACATTAATAAATTATAACACATTACAACTTGTTCGTGACACAGTTATTTAGTTAGAATTACAAAGTATGGAAGCTCAGCGTCGCAGAAAATTATATTTTATACCAAGTTAAAAATATACCTACTTATGTGTGGATCATGATAGTTATTCACTTTTATTGTTAACCTTGTATACAACAAGTGAAAAAAAAAACAATTCTGTTTTAAAAAATATAATATTCAATTTTAATAAAGAAATTATTCTTTTTTAAATTTATTTATTAACAAGAATGTAAAAAATAAAACATTTTTACAATTTTAGTTTGATTTAAAAGAGGAACAACGTCAAAAGAACTATCCAAATTAAACATTTTGTTTTATAACTATTTATACCGTTGTTATTAAATATTGTCTTT